AGAGAGAGAGAGAGAGAGAGAGAGAGAGAGAGAGAGAGAGAGAGAGAGAGAGAGAGAGACACATATATATTCATTCTAACCCAGTGGTTCTGAACCTGGGGTCCACGGACCCCTGAGGACCATGATGTTGTCACAGGGGGTCCACAAAGACTTGAAGAAATGTTATAATTTAAAATTTGAGTGGAATCTTGGGGGTCCATGACCACAAAAGTTATTTAAAGCAGGTCTATGGTGAAGAAAAGATTGAGAACCACTTTCTAACCCATTTCAATGGCTGACCAAGAAAGAAACAAGGAGTGTAAATCTTGTTCTTGACCTGGCTGCATTGGCTTGGCTCTGCTTTTTGAAGAAAATAAATTGATTCCTGTCTGCTCCAGTCTGGAGGGAGGGAAGGGAAGGAAGGAAGGAAGGACTTTTGGTATACTAAAAATCAGAAGACCCCAGGAGTTTCAGCGACAGCATTTCTCCACTTCAAGAAGCTTCCATTGCCATCTGCCACATGTACCTTGTGGCAGTGGTGGATTGCTCTTACCGTTGCTACCGGTACACTGATTGCAGTCTGTTCATGCATGCGCCTGACGTGTGTGCATGCATGCACAATCCACTGTCCCTGCGACAACCAGCTGCTTGTTGGCTCATGCAGGAACCGCATGCTGTGTGCGCATACGTAGTGTGCCTTTTAGCATACATAACAGCTGTAGAGCACAGGCAGGCAGGTGGGCCAAACAAGCCACTGTAACAGTATGCTCTCAGCTGCTCCAGGCCACTACTGGTACGGCCGTACTGGGCCGTACCCGCAGCAACCCACCACTGCCTTGTGGCCTTCCAGACAAGATTTAGGATGCAGAAAACACAAGAAGAAAATTAGTAATGCTTTTCCAGTCACAATATGAGCAGTCATTGAGAAGATCCAGACATAATTTTTCAGCCTCTGTCAAGCTTGGAAGAAGGAGAACTCTAGAACCTTTTTCTCTTCCTCCATGAAATTGCAATAGCAATGATGAATTATCCCAAAGATGGGAAGGAAAAGAAAGGCAATGCATATGAGTCAGAAGACTCATCTGATCCTAATCATGCTCTTCATGTTCAAGGCAAGAAGGATCCACAACCCACCATAGGCCTTCTTTCATGAATCATGGTCATATGTAAGGGGATTTGCTACATCTTCTAAGTCAAATCCTGGCCAATAAATTAGGAAGTAAGATTATTTGTAGCACATGTTCCTTACAAAAAAATGATGGGACTGCTTACCACCAAGGGTGAAAGCACCTGTCCACCTTTGAAAATAAAGCATAATTCTCTTCACTATTCTCTTCATCATAATTCCAAAATGGTAGTAGAAAGATGGTGGACTATCACTTCCAGGATGCTATGTAGAAAAACTGGAAGGGAGAACAAAATCCAGCCACAACTGTGCAAGGCATGTAATAAAAGGGAACAATGTTGCATCAATGCATTGAACTTGAAGTCATTTCTGAAGTCGGTCCCAAATAGGACCTACCCAGTCATTGAATGAAAAAAAAGAATGCAAATTATCTGGGTAAAAGATGCCTCCATTCATACCATGACATTGCAATTTTATTAAGATAGAATTTTACTCAACTGTAGAATAGGCAGCTTTTAATCCAAGAGGCTTCAGAGGTTCACCAGATAAGCAATGTTTTCCCCAAATGTTTCTTTAATTTGGTCAATGAAAAATATATAGAGCTAATCAGATGCATAATTCCACAGTTCTTGCTTGAAACAAAAAATAAATGAAAAGCTACAATTGCTTTTTAAAATCTTTATTTGCTCTTTTCTAATCCGTATGATCCCTACCTAATACCTAAGCCAATAGTGTACAGAAACAAAGAAGGTATCTAAGAGATCCACACTAACAGAAAATTAGGGAGCAAAAAATATGTACAGAAAGAAATTGCACTAGAGCTATAATGTACAGCAAAATTCAATTATAATCAGAATCTCAGTTTGGACCCGCTTCTTTCTCTCTGATATCTCAGTTGACACAAGACAAATGAAAGTCTGAACAACTTGCCAAGAGTTCATGAGTTCCAACTCTTTGTTGGAATGCCTTCAATTCTGTACCAGGGCTGTAGCATTTGTACACATCAATCTGCCAGGAACTTTGGCTCACAGGGTCTTTGGTTCAAGCACTTGAAGGAGTTTGTTAATCCAAAACCAGTTTACTATCCAAGCCTTTCCTGGAAAAATGATGAATCTCTTGTATCTATCCTGATTAATAGCAAGGAGAAAGAGAAGCCTAGGCCCATGGCTTCTAAATGCACATGATCAGAACAGGAAATAAATCTTTGCATCTATCTTATAGTTAAGCTTTCAGGAAAAGTATAATTCATATCACAGTGACTTTTCTCCCACCAATCTATGAGGCACATCCTCTCAGGTTAAATGATCGTTAGTAAAACTAAATAGGAAAAAAATGGATACAGGTGGGAATTCAGCTTCACTAGGCAGGTGAGTGTTAGAGATAATCCATTTGGGATGTGATTTGGAATTTCATGAAACATAAAATCAAGAGGCAACTAGCCATCCTCATAGCTTAAGAACAAGATAAAGTATTTCAGGGTGCTTCAAGCAAATAAATATCTTTTAGAGATCTTTGCCACACAGTGTGTTTCCTCAGAAAAGTGTATCTTAAGTGTCTTCTCCATCTACATAATTTCTAAGAACAGTAAGACTGGAAAATGAACCTTACATATGCTATCCTTAAAATTTATGTTATTTTTTTTTAGTTGGGTAGAATAATTGAACACCAAGTGCTCACAGTGTCCTATCCTAGAGGCCACTTTTACACTACACCTTGACTAGCTTCAGCTCTACATAAGGAAACTGAATGGGAACAGCTCAGAGTAGTGGTCTGTTTATTCTATCTGTTTATTCTTTAGGCATGCAGTATCCAACAATACTGGATGTAAAAGATCATATTGCTTGTATGGATTAATTATCATTTTGCTATTAAAATGGACTATTCTTATTCTTATAGAATATTGTACAACTGCAGTTCTTCTAATTCTAACTTGCTGATTCTACAACACAAATGTAAAACCAAGTCTGCAACATCCATAACTAATTTTAGTTGAATCTGAACCGGGACTGTCTTACAAATCCTGAAGCTGAAGCTCGCTCTTATTTTAGCGATATTTAATTGGTAATAATAATAGACACAGAAATTTGGAAATGAATAATGTTTAGCAATTAGATTTTTTTCCTGAACAGGAACAATGGGGCCTATACTAATCTCAAGAAGTTTTTTAATATTCATTAAGGGTGCCCATTATTTTCTTACAGTTCTGTTTCTTCACATGTCATTATTCATGCCATCCAATGCTTCTGTTTCTGTGGCTCTCTTTGAAGGTCACTTCTGCTACAATTGTGGATTAAGGTTTTATTCAGCCTGTTTATAAGTAAAAACCTGCCTCATCCTTGTCCCTAGGTATGTGGCTATATCTCGAGAGGAGAGAGAGCAGAACCTAATGGCATTTCAGCACAGCGAGAGGATTTATTTTCGGACTTGTCGGGACATCCGGCCAGGGGAGAGACTAAGGGTCTGGTATAGTGAAGATTACATGAAGCGGCTGCACAGTATGTCTCAGGAGACCATCAACCGAAACCTCACAAGAGGTGAGATCCCCCACCCCTTTCCTTACACTAATTGTTTGTGTCTTTATTTTTGACCTGGTTATCAGGTAGTTCTTGCAAGAATCATGTATGAAAAGAAGTCCACAAATTTAAAAAAATCAGCAGTGTAAAATAATAGGTTAAAATAAACAGACAATACAGTTGAAATACCCTGTTTCCCTGAAAATAAGCCCTCCCCAGATAATAAGCCCAATCGGGCTTTTGAGCACATGCACTAAAATAAACCCCCGAAAATAAGCCCGCCCTGAAAATATTGCCACACAGCAGCAGCCATGAGGTGACCACACTCGCCACCTCCTGCACCACAAAAATAACAAGATCTCCTGAAAATAAGGCCACGCGCTTATTTCGAGGTTCAAAAGAAAATAAGACCTTGTCTTATTTTTGGGAAAAAACGGTAGATACATCAAATAAAGTATATACCGTAAGGGATATGGGAGAATTTCATCTACTATCTACTGAAAAGTAAATAGCATTGTCTTGAGGGAGATATTTTTGGCTTGATTTTGGGGGTGGGTGGTGATGGTAAATAGGGCAGATACAGTGACTGTGGTACAGTTGTAATGTCCTTTTCAATTTGCAACATTTGGCAAACACAATGGCTGTCATGATGCTTAAACTTGACAATGATCTGCAGCCATTAATATTCATCAAATATACCTGACCAACTTTATATACCAAATACTGATGAGTACTGGAGAAAGAATGATTTCTCCACTGACAGAGATCAAAACATTCAGAACTAATTCGGAACTTTCCAAATATATCCAGACATTAGGACAAAGATATACTGATCTGAGGATAGTGTGCATGCATCATTATGGGTTTTGCTTTCTTCTTGGTGTAAAGGTCCACTCACAAAAGTACTTTAAAAGGGAGCTTCATATATTGTAGTTAATTTAAGTTAATGGTTGAAAGAAAGGAAGAGGAGGATCCAAATGAAATTATTTTCCCTGTTATTTTTTTCAACACTATTATGGGTGATTTATTTATGTAATGTATTTTTACGTTGTCCTAAAACTTAAGCAAAAATGAAAGAGGCAGATTGTAGATGAAAAAAAAAACTGTTTTTCATATAGTATCCAACAATTTTCTTTCTACTAATTGGACCAGCCTATATGTTTTAAAACCAATAGTGCTGAGAGAGTTGCTGATAATTGGGTCATACTTAGCTGGTGCTCAATGTGTGCAGGTAGGCTTGTGTAAATGCACTTTCCTGGTTACAGAACTGTAGAAATGATTATATTTATGAAAAGGTTATTGTTTTTAGTTTTATTTTTTGAGTAGCTGCAATCTTGGTTAAAGTTAAAGGTAGCTTTATTACATTTCTAAGCATTTTGATTTTAAAATCTGGTATCAGATTAGAGTGAAAAATGACAAGAGGTAAAAAAAATGATGACAACTTTAAAAATCAGCATGCTGCAAACTCCAGGTGCTTGGTAGTCAAAGTGGTAACTATCTGAACTGTGTTTCCTTATTTCCTGACCTGTGGATATGTGTGCATGTGTGATTCTGGAACAGTACATGAGAAGTGTCCAGAAGATCATTGGGAACAACAACAAAAGCTCAAAATAGCAGTTGCTCATAAATAGTTCAGTTACCCAAGACTCAAGGTCTAGACAATCTGAGCACAGTTTGGATTGACTACAGGAACACCTACAACTCAGTGCCACTCACTTGGATTTCTGAATGCCTGCACTATACAAAGTGATCAGGACACTAAGGACCTTCCTCAAGGATTCAATAGGACATTGGGAGATAGCACTGAAAGTCAACTAAGGCAACTCACTCAAGTGGCCATCAAGTGTAATATATACCAAGGTGATACACTGTTCCCTCTGCTGTTCTGCAAAGGCTTTAACCTCCTCAGCCAGATATTCACAAGAACTGGATATGGGTACAAGTTCAAGAGTGGAACTACCACCAGCCATCTCCTCTAATGGATAAAATCAACTTTTATGCTAAGAATGAACTTGCTGCTTTACCTGACACAAATCTACAGTGAGGACATTAGGATGTCATTCTGACTGCAAAAATTTGGTGATGATAGTCAAAAGTGGGAAAGTAGATAAGACTGATGAGGTGGAGCCACCAGTGGGCTACATATCAAACACACAGATTAGTTACAATTATATTGGTATAACCACATATGGGAACCACAGTGGGGAGGCAACGAAGACAGCAACATCAAGTACCACCAAAAGATAAGTCAGCTCAATGGGAAGAACAAAATCTATGCCATTATCAGGTATTCCCTGCCAGTCTTAAAATATCTTGCTCGTCAAAGTAGTACAGGGAAGCTGCTTCCCAGAAGCTCTTCACAATGTATGAAGGTTTCCACCCCAATTTCCCAGAAATTGTACACCAGCCAAAAAGAGGTCAGGTGGTATCTGGTGAGTGTCAAAACCACTGTCTTTGATGAAACCCAGAACATCCAAGAGTATAGCAGTAAGATGGCACTCAAAAATGTGCTGAGAGAATGTCTGAAGTAGCAGAAGACATGGGACGAAGATCAAACAGTGCCATAGCAAGACAAGACCCTGCATAGGATATAACATTGACAAATAACTGAGGTGGCAGACATTGGGAAATCTTACCAGTGTCTGGAAATCAGTTGGATTAAAAGATATCATTGAGGCACTGTTCATAGCAACACGAATAGGCACTAAGCACCAAATCCAAAGAAGAAGGTGACTACTATAATATGCTGAACCCAAGTATGAAGTTTCAGTATGAAGCTACTATGGTCATGTTTTCTCTCCTGATCACTGGTTAGTGTCTTCTACAACCATTTTGGATTAGTGGAAAGACCAGACACTTGATTTCTGGGGAAATTCTGCCTGTTTAATGCTTTATCCATATTTTATTAACATTGTTTATGCATTATTTGAGGTAATGCTAGTGTCAGGGTTTCAGTAATAACTCCAAAGCAATCAAACTCTGAGGCCTAGAATTTCCTCAAACAATAATTTTATTCGGGATGTCATATTGGCACAGCTGGTGAAAACTCAACTCTAAAGGACCCAGGGTTTTCCCCATTCAAATCAAAGTCCAAAGTTCCTTTCCTCCAGGTCATATGTCCAATCAGGTCATAGTCCTAACTCCGGCAGGCTTTGGTCCATGCCGTTCCAACATCTGGTAGAGCATCCTTGGCTCCCATGAGAAAGAATGTTATTTTGCCTACGCATCCCCTCCAGCTGTCTCTACCTCCCCCCTTGTGTTCCCACACATCCACCCGGCCTCACTGTGACAGCCTTGAAGATGCTCCCCAAATGGCTTAAGGGCTGACAGCTAGTAATAAATACTATATTTGAATTATCTTTTCAAAGGTGTTTTATTATCACATATGAAATACCTAATGGTCTGTGGAATCTCTTTGGATGAATTTATTATTTTGCTTTGGGAGAGCTTTACTTTCAAACTGTAACTTAGTGTTATATCAAGAGTCGAAACTTCTAATGAATTCCAATGTACCTCTTTAGATAAAAGAGCAGCCATTAAACACATCCCATGGCCAGTCCTGCAGATAAACTGATTTTTAAAAATATTCAAATATTTGGATCATTTATACAAAGTTGTAATGTTAATATTTGCAGCAAAACCACAGTTAAACATGATTTAGTAAATACACCCTATTTCACTTTTCCAATATCAAGAATATCTAGTATTTTTGTCTTATGCTTTGACTTGGTAAAAGAGACTATATTTTCAAATGCATACTTACTCTTTTATTCACATATATGTGTGTGTGTGCATGCGTGTACATGCATGCATGTATGTATTATAAGCAAATCCTTAAACAGAAAAAAGTCAGATGCAGAAAATTTTCTGGAAGGAAAGTTCCTTCTTCTGCTTCTCTCCAGTTCAGTATTAAGATTGTGAAACAATTAAAATTATGGCTAGCTGTTCATGAATTGGTTTATGAAAACATACCAGATCAGTGGAAGCAAATTCTATATAATATAGTGTAATTATTAGGTAATTGAAGAGGTTGTTTAAAAAGGCATATCTTAATGTTAAGGTAGTAGTACTAGTCTGAGAAATTCAGCTGACGTCTTCAGATCTATTATGTATTCCCCATATGGAATTACCAAGGATTATACTGATGAGATTTGGCACAAATTGTTGATGTTAAGTTTTGTATTTTTTCCTTTTAAAACATATGCTACACATAAACACCTATACACAGCCTTCTAGAGTTCACTGGAGCCTAAACAAATAATAATAAATATGCAGTTCCTAGCTGCAAAAATAGTATTCTCCCTGCCTTAAGAATGGTGTAGTTAGCTCTGTCCTACATCTCCTGAAATCTCAGTAAAGAAACCACCCTTCCAGACTCTCATTCTGATAGTATTGGACAATATATTTGTTCAGGCAGGATTTTATGGATGTTGTTCACCCTTGAATTGGAGAATTTGAGATGGGAACATGGCTAATAATGCTTAAAATAGTCTGTGTATCTTGAATGTGGAAGTGGATCTTGAATCTTTTGTTTTGCCTAATCCTGGAATCAGTGTCACAGAAAACCCAGAAACTGAAAATTTAGAAATGAACTTGATCAATGAGATCTAAACATAAATACCCAGTAATCTATCATCCATACTCTTTGTACATTTATTTCAAGAATACTTTTATGTGATAAATATTGTTGATATTGTAACTGGATGAAGACTCCTACAAATTAAAATTATCTTCTGTTGCTAGGAAAGGAAAATTCTGAGGAGACACACTTCATAGTTGGGACTTAGCTATAAGATGTTAATTAAAGTTGAAGTTAGTTGGTGATATGTCTTTATGTAAGGAGAAAAATTTCCTTGATTAAGAGTTTAATATTATGCTGTGAGAAAGAGATGAAAGGAATTACTCTAGGATAGGTTCTATTAGGTAGAAATGTTAAGTTATATTTTGTAGTTAAACATGATTTGCTCTCCTGGTTTTATGAGTTACAATGTTAAAGCTCTTTTCTTTCCCTCTTGTATACTGAATTGAATTATACACAATTATTGTTCACAGGGAAGCATTCCATGAGCATCGTATACAGTAAGATCTGGTATTTAAATCATATAAATTAAACCTGATATTAAACCATAAAAGGAAGAGAAAGTTCCTGTTTCACTTCAGGGAAATAAATTAAATCAGTTGCTGGCAGTCTATTCATGACAAGGAAAACTCCTGTAAAGGAAAACACCTATACTGTAGTTGGCAACTAAATACATTTATTGTTTGTGCTTTTTTTTAGTGAAAGCTATCCAAAGTCACTGTGAATTGACTTGCAGCTAAATTTAAATAAACAAATAAACAAACCAGGTGTTCAAGAGAAGATTTGGATGGAACCTATAGAGAAGCCACTTGAGATATAGTGGGAGAGAGCCCACATTATGCAAACTCCATATCTCCTTATAGGAACTCCAATTGTGGGTTGCAAAACCAGGATTACCACCAGATTATAGTAAAAAGTTTTGTTGCCATTTTGGTCCTCCAGATTTTTGCAGCCCATGTCTGGTAATCCTGCCTTCTTGTATATATTGTCCCTAATTCTGAATTAATCATTCACTTAAGAACTTCATTTTCAGTTATAAATCTCCATTTTAGTCAAAATCCTTGAAAAATGTTTCATATGAGACCTCTCAGATATGTTCCTTTTAATCTACTACAAAAGTATGTGTTAATTTAACACATACTTAATTTAAAACATTTTAAAGGAAAGCCTTCTTTTAAAATATATGGTTAACTAAAAAAGCTGCATAAAATACTTAACAGTGATTGTGGCCTTCAGTAGCATAAAATAACATTCAGGTTTTTACAAAAATTTGAAAATGATCAAGAAGAGTGTTACCCCATAAATCCCATGATATTCCAGAATGACATTTTTAATCTAAATCTAAAAAAAAAATATTGAAGATGTTTCACTCCTCATCCAAGAAGCTTTTTCAGTTCAGAACTGAAGTTTCTTGGATGAGAAGTGAGTCTTGAAGGAAAAACAAAGAAAGTCCACTTGCCTTTTGAAAAAGTACCTTTGAGACTATAGAAAAGTCTCATTATTTTTTTTCCTACTGATTATAAGTACCAAGCAATATAATAATTACTGGTACTACAAAAGGTGATTGCATCATCCAGCACAAAGGCCTATGAACAGACAAAATTGTAAAAATAAATAGAAACAAATTATTGGCTCAAATTCCATCACTTCTACCAAGCATCATTTTATTCATTTATTTTGTTTATACCTGATCATAATCTCACAGTACTCTGAACTATTTATGCAAGTACAATTAAAACATACATATTAAAATCAAAAAGCACCTACAAACAAGCTGAAATCTTGGCTTTGCATTAGCTCCCCTTTTTACTTTTTTCAGAAGGCAATTTAAATGGGAACTAACCATCTTTCGTGAAAAGCAGATCTAAGTTTTGCTCCTTCCTTCCTCACCAAAATGTAGGAAATCACCAGATGGTCTTCCTGACAAAATTGCTTTGGGTTGGGCTGATTCTAAGAGGCAGCTATATTATTAAAAGTAATTTGATACAGGGCATATAGCTTTATAGTAAAGACTACAACAACACTTTCAGTTTCACCCGGAAGTATATAGGAAACTAGCGCAGGGCCCACAGCAGAAGTTTAATGTGTTTCCACCTGCAAGGGCTGGATATCACACAGGCCATTGAGTTTTCAGCCAACTGAAGTTTCTAATTTGTCTTTAATGGAAGCTCCATAGAGTATATTTTGCAGTCGTTCAAGTGAATGGTGATGAAGGCACGAGTCACTATAGTAAGATACTGTTGTCCCAGATAGGATACAACTAATGTCGCAACTGATGCTGATAAAGGATCTCCTGGCTACAGCTTCCTTATATTAATCTAGTAGGACCACAAATCCTAGAGAATCCCCAAAACTATGGATATACTTTTTCAGGAACCGTGCTTTCTAATTCAGAAATACCACTGGAACCACCAGAGAATCCCAATGGACAAACAATAATTTTCCTTTAAGGTGACTAGAAATGTTATCTACAATAAGATCTCCCAGATACAAGTAATTATTCTGCCTGTGGCAGTCCAAGGACCAAGGAGAGGCAAGAATCCAGCTCATATGGCAGCAAAGGATTTCTTAGAGAGCATCCAGTGTACTTCCTCAGAAGTCAAAGCAAAAAGAAACCCCCAAAACATGGCAACATTATGTCTTAGTCAACACTCCAGGATCTGCTCAGAATAGAATAACTCTGATAAACTTTATTGAAAAAATGTTGTGCTAATTTGTCACATTTCTGGGGGCTCTGAGAAAGTCAAGGGGTCATCTGGAATTTGTGACAGAGACAGGATGATTCATGATTTTTTCAAGGGCATGTTGCTGATTCACCTATCAATTGTCAAGGAAATTCCAAGCATCCATTATAAATCCATGTGGTACCTGTGGTGGATCATCTGAATGGGTTCAGCTTTCTGGTGATCACACAGCCATCAGTCACATCTGGACCAGGAAGTGATCTAACCATGGCATAAAAGCTGGTGGTAGTAACCTTTATACAAAATCATATTGTAGAGATTCTGAAGTAAATACAATTCATGTCAGTTCCATGATTTCCTGAGGAAAACCCATGGTTATCATGGAGCTCGTGAACTCCCAGCCTCCACCATATGAAGTATAAATCCCTCATTGATAGAGGGGGGAGGGATTCAACTACCATCCTGACAGATCCAGAAGCCCAGAAAGGCTCCTGATGGGTGTCACTGATGCTTTTTGACTCCAATCAAAATTTGCTTACTCCTTTCATCTGCCTGATCTCCTAACCACTTACAATCCAAACAGCTACTTCTAGAAGCTTGGTGAATCTTTCTGCATCAAGGCCCTTAAAAGTTTCCCAATCTTCCAAACTGATCCTTCCCACAAAAACTGCAAATATATTCCACGTTTTTATTTCTCCTCTTTCAAATTCATACACTCCATCCTTCCCTCTTACATCATCTTGAAAACAGTAACCCATTAATAAGCTTTGCTATTTTGAAGAAATTCTCAGGTGATTCTGGCAAACTGAGCTTATTAACATAATTTAGTCAACTTCCTTGATTTAATTAGTTTTTGTAACTACATGCCATCATCAGCACCATTGTGGTTGCTAGAAATCTTAATAGTACGGCTTTACATCTACTGTGTTGGAAGCATACTATTTTTAAAAACTCTTATGTTTGCCTGGTAGATTTCTACAAGTGGAACAAAATGACAATGTATATGAGATGATTTCATCACATAAATGCTGCAACCAGGTGTAATATTAAGGTCACTGGTTTGCTATGGACACAACAGTTTTTAATTCCAAATATTTGTGGTTAAGATGGAATAGAATTTTTTTAAAGGAAAAATGTGAATTACTCTGTCAAGTCTCAAATAAATATTCAGATAGAAAAGTGCCACTTAAAACATTTGCCACATCCTAACCAAACCACCAGTTAGTGTCACACTCTGAAAACTAAGTAGAATATGGAATTGACTAAAATCTTGTATATTGTATGTATGCATTTTTAAAATTCCTAAATCAAAACAAGTCCTATGCAAATCGATGCATGCTTACAACAGATTGGTATTGGTTGGAAGTTCCAATGCAGCATCACAAAACCTGGAGTTGCAATACTTGCATAGCAGTTTTCCTCTAGTGTCACAAGTAGATGAAACTATTGCAGTTGCTGAGGTCTATGATGCTAGGATTTGATGAAGCACATCTATACTAAAGCTGTTACATAAGCACAAATGTAATATAACAACATTAAGCAGCACCTTGTTTGGAAAACAACCAAGTATTGATGCTTGGAATTATTTACAAGACAGAAGAAAGATAGAATCAAATCCATCATCTTCTGAATTTCCAGGTAAGGATATTTGGTTATTTTTTTCTAAATAACTGCTAATCTGCTAAAATCTCTGCTTTTGGTAAATTTTGCTTATGTCCATTTAGTAATGTATTACAACAAGCTATAGATCTCAGTCTTGGATATCACTGGCCTGGTTCTAATTAACTCTTGATAGTTAGCGATATGGGAAATGAGATTGTAATTCCTGTGTATTCTCATGTCTCGTGTCACTCTATTATGCAGTGGAAAGGTCTATCAAGTTACTGGTTTAACGTGGAAACTTCATAGTATTGACATGATGCCTTTTACCAAGTCAAAGTTATCACTACATTTTCAGCAAGCTGAAACATCTATATTTTATTTTAATTTCAATTACAGGTTAGCTACCTGTTACTTTAGATTAACTGCCTATTCTTTGAAGTGTATTGAAGCAAACCTCTGAATATTACCTAGATATTGTTTGATTTTCAATATTACCCATCATTAGGGTGCCTAAATATTTATTCCAGTAAATGTATTTATTGGTTATACAACATGTGAAAAGTTTGTCCTACCTTTTTGCTTTAGCTTTTGTGTCAGGAATGTTGTAGTGTTCCCATGAATAAGCATCTTCTGATTTCTTTTTTAGGGGACAGAAGATTACTAAGAGAAAAGACAGAAAGAATTCTAGAAAGCCAAGAAGATGTGATCTACCCTCTTGAGCTCACTACATCAAAACCAGGGAAGAGTTCCTACAAACGTAGCTTTGAAGAAGGGATATCTCAACCCCAAACCAAGAAAAAGAAAATAGACCTCATCTTCAAAGATGTCCTAGAAGCTTCTCTGGAATCAACTAAGGTAGAAGATCATAAGTTCACCAAAAATTCTACCCCTTCCACTCGAAAATCCTTGAGATTCCAAATCCAAGATATTTCAGAAACATGTGGGACTAATGTTAAAGACAGTTCTCCTAATCACAGTAGACACAAAAATGAGGGTGAGTGGAAGGTCCCTCACAGTTCTCACTTTACCACATCCAAAGAAATTGGCTTGCTGGAAGAGGAAGGTGAAGAACCTTTGTCGTTTAAAGTGAACAGTCCCACTGTTGATGATGATGCTCTCGAACTCCCAACAACTTCCTTGTGTCCCAACTGCATACGGCTGAAAAGAAAGATTCGGGAATTGCAGGCTGAGCTAAATCTGCTAAGATCTGGCAAGTTAGCTGAGCCATCTCTACTACCTCCTCAGGTACCTGAATATCAAGCATTTTCATATCCCACTGGTAAGTTACATAAAATAAAAATGCTCCTTAAACATTATACTAGGAGACGTTACATTTCTGAAGTCTCATGGTTGGGTCTTATGAAGCACAGACTTAATTCTCTGAACAGTTTGGGGTATTATAATTATAATTTGTAATTATAAATCATCTCCTTTTTATTGTAATATGTTCATTTTCAATAAAAATATTGCAGCAAATTGGTTTGCTATATTCTTCATACATTGCAGGAGAAAGAATCGTAGGCTATCATTTTGAATGCAGTTTAGGAAGTATGTTTGGTTTCCTGTGTGCTATGTGAAATATACTGGTTCATATGTATGTGAAACATATAAAGCAAAGTTTACATTTTATGTAGGAACTTACTCTTAACTTTGTTGACTTGTGATTGTTTTTGAAGAACTCTTTCACTTTCTTCCATGATACCTCAATAGTTCTTGTTATAATATGGTAATAGCTAGAATACTGCTGAGGTTATTTTTTTTTAATTGCTTAGACTTAATTAGAAATTAGGACTTTAAAAAAAGTATTGGTTTCAAAACATTTATAATTCAACCTTACCCCAAATAACATGTTCATTTTTATTGAAAACAAGGGACATCTGTACATATGGATGAAGTGTTGTACGATTACCTTACTGTTTTATGTTGTTTTCTAGAACTTTGTCTTAAATTGTCTGTAATTCTTTTTTTGTTTATTTGTTTGTTTGGCAGCTTCAGAAAGCATCATGTCTGTTCCTACCATAATGGAAGATGATGATCAGGAAGTAGATTCAGCAGATGAATCGGTTTCAAATGACATAATAACAGCCACCGATGAGCCTTCCAAGATGTCTGCTGTCACCAGAAGGATCCGGCGCTTCAAGCAAGAGTGGCTAAAAAAGTTCTGGTTTCTGCGGTACTCTCCTACGTTGAATGAAATGTGGTGTCATGTCTGTCGGCAATATACAGTGCAGTCTTCTCGAACTTCAGCCTTCATCATTGGCTCAAAGCAATTCAAGATCCACACTATAAAACTTCATAGCCAGAGCAATCTCCACAAGAAGTGCCTGCAGCTCTACCGGCTCAGGATGCACCCAGAGAAGACAGAAGAGATGTGTCGAAATATGACTTTATTGTTTAATACAGCCTACCATTTAGCGATGGAAGGACGGCCATATTGTGACTTTAGACCTCTTGCAGAACTACTGAGAAAGTGCGAACTCAAAGTGGTGGATCAATATATGAATGAGGGAGACTGTCAAATCTTAATCCATCATATTGCTAGAGCTCTTAGAGAAGATCTCATTGAACGGGTGAGGCAGTCTCCTTTCCTCAGTATCATTTTAGATGGGCAGAGTGATGACTTACTTGCTGACACTGTTGCAGTTTATGTACAGTACGTCAGCAGCGACGGACCACCTGCCACTGAATTCCTTTCTCTCCAAGAACTGGGATTTTCTACAACGGATAGTTATGTTCAAGCATTAGATCGGGCTTTTACATCTCTGGGAATGAGGCTGCAAGATGAAAAGCCAAGTGTTGGTTTGGGGATAGATGGTGCTAACATTACTGCCAGTCTAAGAGCAAACATATACATGACAATCAGGAAAACTCTGCCTTGGTTGCTCTGCTTACCTCTAATGGTACACAAGCCACACTTGGAAATATTGGATGCAATTAGTGGAAAAGAACTACCCTGCCTTGAGGAACTAGAGAACAACCTGAAGCAGTTACTCAGCTTTTACCGTTACTCTCCTAGGCTGATGTGTGAGCTAAGGGTCACTGCTGCTACTCTCTGTGAAGAGACTGAGTTCTTGGGAGATATTCGAGCAATCAAATGGATCATTGGGGAACAAAATGTCCTCAATGCTCTCATTAAGGACTACCTGGAAGTAGTGGCCCATCTGAAAGATGTCAGTGGCCAAACACAAAGAGCAGATGCTTCTGCTATTGCCTTGGCTCTCCTGCAATTTCTTATGGACTATCAATCCATTAAGTTGATATATTTTTTGCTTGATGTCATTGCAGTCCTTTCACGACTTGCCTTCATTTTCCAAGGTGAATACCTCCTTATATCCCAAGTAGATGATAAAATAGAGGAGGCCATCCAAGAAATTAGCAGACTGGCGGACTCTCCAGGGGAATACCTACAGGAATTTGAGGAGAACTTCCGTGAAAGCTTTAATGGTGTTGCTGTGAAAAACCTACGGGTGGCTGAAGCCAAATTCCAGTCAATTCGAGAAAAAATATGCCAGAAGACCCAAGTGATTCTGGCACAAAGATTTGAACCTCGCAGTCGAGCCTTTGTGAAAGCATGCCAGGTTTTTGATCTTGCAGCTTGGCCCCGAAGTGCAGAAGAACTTATGAGCTATGGAAGGGAAGACATGATGCAAATATTTGAACATCTGGAGGCAGTGCCATCTTTTTGCACAGAAATCAGCAGAGAAGGCATAGACACCAGAGGGAGTTTGCTCATGGAATGGCGAGAACTCAAGGTGGATTATTATACCAAAAATGGCTTTAAAGATTTAATCAGTCATATTTGTAAATACAGACAGAGATTTCCTCTTTTAAATAAAATAATCCAGATCCTCAAAGTCCTTCCCACTTCCACAGCATGCTGCGAAAAGGGAAGAAATGCTCTTCAAAGAGTGCGCAAAAACAATCGTTCCCGACTTACTCTGGAACAACTCAGCGATCTTTTGACAATTGCTGTAAATGGACCACCTATTGCCAACTTCGAAGCCAAACGGGCACTAGACAGTTGGTTTGAGGAGAAATCTAGCAATAGTTATGCACTGTCTGCAGAAATGTTAAGCAGGATGTCCACCCTGGATCAGAAACCTGTGCTGCAAAGCATGGACCACGGATCAGAATTTTATCCTGATATTTAGCAATGAATGCCTCTTGTTTAGAGAACTGGTGATTTTTTTTAATCAATACTCTAAGCTTTGGTATAGTACACATACACTCACACACAGAGACACACACACACACACACACACACACACAGATGCACATGTATGATGTAAACTCACACTGAAAATGTAAGCTGATCTGATGGAAGCTAAGAGGAATACAGCAACATTTACTATGTACTGACATCTTCAACTGTGGCAGCTGCAATGTAGGTGGCAACCTTTCATTTTTCAGAAACACATACTGGGGCCATAGTCTGCATTATCAACCTGACTCAATTTATAAGCTAGACATGGCAGGCCAATGTCATGCTACGTCTCTATGCTTTTTATGTGTATGTCTGTTTTTTTACCTCTGGTATTTTAGTTATAGTCAGCTATTGAGCCATTTTAGCCCTTTGCTTATCATCATTGGGATTTCTGAGCCCTGTGCACACACATCTTGGAATTTGCTTCTAGCTTCTCAATATAGGTTACATTGGATCCCACTGGTAATCTGGTTAATTTCCATGCTATTGTCACTTAGCCTGAATAATTTTTCTTAGCATGACACATCAATGGGCAATTCCGGTGTTAGGCAAATGTCCTGTGAAAACTCTACTAACAAGTTCATACGTATATCTTCTTACAATATTGATAGCATGCTCCTGTGAAAATAGCATAATTCAGATTAGGGAAATTGGGGGTGGGTTGTTTTTGCATTTATATTTTTATATAGTGGGAATAAGGAAATTAATTAAAACTCTTTACTGAAAACCCAGGCTGCTGTGGAAGCTAGATAGCCAATGAGTCAAATCCTTTAAGAGGATATAGACTCCAGGGCTTAAAAATACACATATGCTAATTTTATGTTATTTATACTTGGTCTTTATAATCATAAATTGATTGTGTTTTATGTTTGTTTGTTTTTAATAAGTGAAAGAAATACCTGCTGTCTTTGTGTGGCAGGATATATCAATGCAAAATTCATCTTTATTGCTTAACACTTTTCAAGGTCCTTTTCCTGGTTCACATATCCTTCTTTTACTAACATTTAAAGTTCCATTGTGTGGCTAAAAGAAAAACAGGGTATTGTGCATATACCTGTGAGCTTCTTTCAAAGAGTGCATAGTCTAATAGATATGTGGACTATGAGATTTGGAGCTAAACTAATACATGCATTCTGAAGAACTTTTTTTAGCTTAATAAATAAGGATTGTTTAGGATAAACAAGCCTAAATAAACAGAGAGCCTCCTCACCTGTTTGTGCCATACCCTTCTGATATATCCTAAAACAGTTTTGGGAAGTTTTGGCTGCATTAGAGGATCACAGGAATAAAAAATACAATTTTGGCTGCAGGATCTACTACGGTAGCATGTTTCCAGAGGGACTAAACTCATGCCAGTTTCCTTTTTTTTTCTTTTTGAATACAGTAAAATGATGTCAGTTACACTGAACTATCCATTTTCCTTCCCTCCAGTCCATTCCCATTTTCTCCTTCTTCTTCCGGTTAGTCTTGGTGCTAAATTTCTCTGGAACCATTGCTGCTAGTAGGTAGTTTTTCATTTATATAACAATATATTGCGTTATTTTTAAACAATATGTTTTCAGTGATAATGTAGCATGTGGTTAAAACAGTCTCTCTCAGGACATATCTACACCGGCATCTTTTTCAGTATCGTTTTTGTGTGTTCGATTTTAATTTGTCTTTTGATACTCATTGTTCCAGTAATCATCCTGGCTTAATTTTTATGTTATCGTTATTTGCAAGATTTTAAGCTTTTTTTTTAAAAAAAATGTAGACATAGAGTATAAAAGAAATGGGCATCATGCCTCCACACCACCTCCTAGGATTGGCTAATCAGATGGAACTTTCAGAAAAACTTGTCCAGGCCATCCCTGGGCAGAAAGGGAAAATATCTGATTTATAATTTATAATAATACAGAAGATTAGCATAAGAAGACTTTTTTAAAAAAATAAATAAGGAGAGAAAAGAGGAGAACCTTCCCCCCCCCAGGAGCACTCTGCAAGCCCCCCCCCCCAAGGCTATTCATGCTTTTTTTTTTAAAACTGGCCCGTTTTCATAAAAAATGGGCCGTTTTGGGGAGGTTTGCGGAGTGCAGAAACTTTTTCCCCCTTTTGGAAAGCTCTTTGATTGATGAGAATTACATTGATCAAGTGCTGTGCCAGGAGAAATACCTACTATCTACTGTATTTCTCTCAATCTCTATTTCTCTATTTATATCCACCTACGTACCTACACTCTCTCCCTCCCTCCTTCCCTACCTACTGTATTTCTCTCTCTCTATTTCTCTCTCTCCCTATCCCTTTATCTACCTACCTACCTAACTACTCTCTCTCTCCCTCCCTACCTACTGTATTTCTCTCTCTTTCTCTCCCTTTCTATCCCTCTATCTACCTACCTACTTTTTTAAAAAAATTGCCTCTTCAAAACCTGGGTGCGTCTTATACTCTGGTGCGTATATGCAATAAGAGAAAAGCCTTGTAGACCATGGTTCATACCATTTGTTTCATTTTTTGGATGAGAAGTGAAATGTTTTCGAGGAGAAAAGTAAGAAAGTCCAATTGCCTTTTGGAAAGCACCTTTGGGACAACCATGACTTGGATGAATGAGAATCTCCAAAGATATTCACTTTGACATCTTCAATTATATTTACTCCAGTTGCCACTTCTTGATTTTTTTTTATTTTTACTTTTCCTGTTAAAACTTTTCAAAGTTTTAGCCTCTGGCCCATTTACCCCATGCAATTGATTAAATAATCTTTTGATGCTGATTTTTGAAAGAATTGATATAAGAGAAGCTTTCAAGCAAGTGAATTATGTTGATAATTTCCAGGATTTAGAAGAGAATTTGTGCTTTGCGGCATTTCTTCTCTTTGTGCGCCTGTGTTATAATAGCATGAATATATTAAATAGAGTGTATCCAACCTATGATTTACTTTAGATGCAGAAAATTTCAAAACAAAAAGTATGATACAGTCGTTTAAACATTAAGCTTCCTGTCTTCTGTGGTTGTCATCTTGAACCAAGAACATTTTTCTAAAATAAGGTGCTTCAAAATTTCCTCTATGAAAGTCACTCTACTTTTGTAATATCCATGGGTTCTTTTGAATATTTTCCCTTCTGTGTAGTAATGGTTACTTATCTTGCCTCATTAATAAGGAAAGTGAAGATACCCATGTTTGTGTTCTGATTTTCCCCCCACAATTGATTGGAAGAGACACAAAATTCAATTATCTCTAGGCTACGTAGAGAAGGTTCTATGTCTAAATGGACAGTAAAATGAAGGTTTGCAATACTTTATAAGAGTGCTAAGAATTAAAAAAAAACCATGTATGCTTTTTTAAAAAAAATCTTCCCTTACTAAAAGTTGTAGAAATTTAAATTTAAAATTTAGGCTATGCTATAACTAAATGAGAATATGATGCAAACAGCATTTTAAAATGCTCTCTTCTTGGCTCCATTAAAAAAGATACCGTAATCATGCACTTAATTCTGCCATATTAAAATAAATGATGCTTAACTTTGGCTGCATCTTATAGATGCTTCCTGACATTGCAATATTTTAAAGTTACTTCCTCGTTATAAATAATTAATATAATGTGAAGGTCAAAATGGGGTCATCTTGCATTTTTCTTTTTGATCATACTTTTTTATGCTACAAAAAGGGTTTCCATAGCTGCGCTCAGGAATTTTTTTCTTATATTCATTTTTCTTATATTCAAAGTCCAGGTTCTTAGCATTTGGAGAAATTGCATGCACTGTTCCTTTTCTGATGCTGTGTTACTTCCAAAATGTAATCACAAGTATCACAGCATCATTATGCCTGTTGATATCAGGTGAATGATTGTCAATTATTTTGACTAATTAAGTGGATAAAAGAGTTTCCTAAAATAAAATAATGGTTCAGTTGCAATCAATTCTATTTTACTGCCGTCATATGTAAGGTTTAGTAGCATAAAGATAGATGGTCCAAAATAAAGGATTCCTTTTCTGTCATATTAAAATTGAAAGTATAGCTATTTGACATGTTCTGGCAGAAAAGGATAATATAAGGGATTATTGATTTGTGTGGTGGAACCTGATATGATGTAGTAATAATCTATCTTTAACCCTACATCATAGGGGGAAAATCCTATTAGAATTATTAGGGAAGTGGGGGCAAGGGGTTTTTCAGTATTATCTTTTCATTAAAAAGTTGTTCATGCTCAGTGATTATACAAATGTGCATGGTCACATTCTCAAACCATAACAGAGGCTGAAATAAATTGAAGTGAGAAAAAAAAGGACACTAGAGGGCACCCACAGTTAATATATTGGTGCTTGTCTATTGCAACCGAAGAGCACAATAATGCTTTACCTACTGATTACAAAAACTATAGTTAATATTATTGAAAGTACTTTTTAAAAGTTTTCTCCCTGTAATGAGGAGATAAAGGGGTCAAGCTTAGAAAGATCTAGTTCTGAAATCTAAACAGATCCGATAACCTCTTTCATTCATTCCATTTTGTGAGGTTGTGATCTTTTTACATGGCAAAAAAAGATCAGTATGTGATGAACTATTTCTAACCTACTCAGTGCCTGGGATTATCTTCACAAGTAGGGTCTGGTTTCAGATTTTGCAATTATCAGCCAACTCAGGCTTTTACAGAGGTGATTCCATTGGGCACAAGCATATTATAAACACATTGATTTGATGCTGAATCCAACCCGCTGGTAGTGTATAAAATCTCCATGACCACCAAGCCCGGCACAGCAGTAATTATGAAAATGAATTCAGGCAACAAACTTTCTTCCAATTTTAGCAAAAGCACAATGAAGGCCCATGCATGGGTGATGTGTACTTGTACTCTAAAGAGAGATTTTTCTGCCACCCTGATTTCTGTACTGAAGTGCCTGTTCCTTGCACTTTTTGCTCATACTGGTTCATAAAGAACATTTATATATTGTGACCACAGCACATATGTGCCCATAACACAGTTTTTCAGGTTATACAGTATTTCTACTACTACTGTTTCTGCTAGTAAGTTACTGACAAACTTGCATAGCAGAGTGAAAAGGCTCAGTTAGAATCCTTCCTCAGTTTAATAAAATTCCTCTTAAGCACTAGCAATCTGTTCCATAGCCATTGTATCTCACTCCACTAAAAACTATGCAATTCTTATCATCCCTTGCAGGCAAGTAAAATGTATATGCATGAAAATTGGTATATGTCTACGCTACCAATTTGTGTGAGGTGCAATCTAAATATATCGGTGGGACCTGAGCCATGAAAATGCTCTTTTTTTTTTTTTGAGTGGGAATTTAGCACACTCATTTCCCTCCTAGATTGCACTCATTGACCATGCTCCAGATAGTCAAGCACTTTAACATTGTATTGATCTCAGTGGAAAATTTAGGAATAAGTTTTATCATTATTCAGTTCCCCCACTGAAATCAATTAAATAAAAGACTTCAAACTTTAGCTAGATTACGTTGATTACATCTATAATGCTTACAATCAGTGTAAGAAACAAACCCTCATGCTTATATATCACCATATATATATTCTTCCTCATTCATACGCATACAAATGCATATGAATGAGAATAGTTTGTGTGTGTTTGTGAAAGTATATACAAACAAACTTTAGAGAGAGAAGCAACTGCTCTATTATAAAGTGAGGTCCTGAATTTATGTGAGGAATACAGCACTGATTATCACTGTTCTTGGTCTTAGCATATCTATATTTGTTTATAGTCTTATTTCAGGGGGCTCTTTCTCTTGGGATAACTATTGATTAGAGAGCATTGCTACAGTATGGTCAGGAAAGGGAATTTTTTGATAGCATAGTGATAATATGCTAAAGTTCATATAACCATATCGGGACCATCATATAATGAATGAAAATGAACCTTACCTCTCCTTGTTACATAGAGTGTACATACATATATTCTCACTTTGGCAAATATATATTTGATTGATTTGTGCACTTTCCCCTCTGCTTACCTTGACTTAATGAGCGCAAGCTTCAGGTTATTTCTCCCTGGTCGATAAAGCATGATTGTTCATTAAATATGTAATATAATCCTTGGATTTATCATGTCAAGCCAAATTCCACTTCCTTCGAGTGGTACATGCTCAGGCAACTTAGGACAAGAACACAGCCTTTGTTACCCGAGGACAAGATAAGGATAAGGACTGTGTGGAGAAGGAATATAGCATGAAAGGAAAGCTTAAGTAAAAAGGCAGGGAATAAATAGATAAATAAAGCTCTTGAATGGAAGGGTGAATGGGAGCGTGTGTGAGATGGGCACCCGTTATCTTGATGAGACACTGCATTGAGGAAGAGCCACTTTGCTTCAGAAAGGCTAGTTTCTGCACATAAGGTACACCGGCACAGAAGGTATTTCACATTGAACCAAGTGGCATGATAGCACTTAGAAGTGGAGGAGCATTTCTCTTCGTAAGAGTGTTTCATTCAAACTTTGAAGCAAAGTACCTCCTTGGGGCTTTGCGTGGCTCTATAAAATAGGCAAATATATTTAGCTGAAGAATCACGCTGAAGGCCTTTTCAATACTGACAATTGCATTACTGTTCCTTAGCTACCTACTTCCATTCTTTTGGGTTATTTTCAAAGTGCAGCTAATTTCTCATTGTTTGTTGAGCAAACTCAGTTGACCATTTAAGTGGTTTTCATGGTGGTCAGTAGGTATGGGTCATCAGACAGAAAATTCTGTATCCTGAACACTGTATTAATTTAGTAATGTTGGCTTAAGGCATTATGATTGAACCACTCCACTAACATAATGTTAATATGACTGTATTCTTTTCGGTATGGATGGGAAATATGGGCCGGGGAATGTTGGCAAAGGTGGGCCACAGTTTTCTTCATTGATACTTGTGAAACATATGCTCAGAGCTTTATAAGCTACACATCCTCTTTTCTTCGCTCAAACCTGAACAAAGCCATTTGGATTTTTGCAGCTGAAAA